TTTTTTTTTTTTTTTTAAGAACTGTGTTTATTCTCCTTGTGGATCACAAAACAAGCTTAATTAGTAAATACTGTGAAGAGAGTTGTATACATGGCTGTGGAAGTCTGTGACTCAGTGGTAGTTAGAAAATGTGAGGATTGAACCTAATGTCAACTCCCGTAGTTGAACTAAGGAGAACAGGCAGAGTCATCTACGCCAGGGCACACGAAGCAGCCTGTCAAGTCTTTAGAGTTCTCTTCAGTTGAGTGCAGTGGTGGTTCTAGTATAACCGACTGGTAAATGGTTAATTTTATAGTAAACCTGTATCATGAAGTCTGGTAAATTTTTCGGTGTGTAGGAAAATGTACAGTAGAACCCTGGACCTTGACACTAATCTATTCTAGAAGGAGCGTCGAGATGCGATGGAGTCAAGTTCTGAATCAGTTTCTCCCATAAGAAAGAACAAAATGAAAAAAAAAAGAAAGAAAAGAAAGAACAAAATGGATTAATCCATTCTCAACCACCAAGTTTTTACCCTAACCTTCCCTTTTTATCCAAAACATGACACATAAATTTCAAACTAAATAAGTTTAGAATTAAATAATATAATTTTTTTAAATAACATAATTTAAATAAGAAACACAACATTTTAAAAGTCTTTAACAACTACATTATGGCCCATACCTTGAGATTGATGAGGATCTGGATCTGTGGACTGGGATGTGGAGAGGAGGTATGGACAGAGAGTCATTGTTTGGAAAGGGAGGCCCCTTCCATAAAATCAACTGGTAGCTGCTTTTCAGGACTTTTTTTCCCTGCTTTGCCTTTTTTTCACTAGGACCTGCCTGGCTTTCTCTTAAAAAAAAATCTGTGTAATGTGGTCTGCTGTTGGCATTTCCTTAACTGTTTGCTTAAAAGGATTTAATAAATTATCAGCAACAATATCGATAACATGGATAACCAGTTCCTTATCATGATGATTCTTTTCAAAACACTTTCTTAGGACCCATATTTTTTATATAAAAACAGTATAAAAAGCTACAAAAACTAAGAAAATTATAGCAAAACGCTTGGTACACAGCTGCAAAAGATTTAAACAATGCGTACTAGCAATGCCAACTAACACCGAGTGACTGAACTGCTTTTGTTTACAAAAATCACGTGCATTGGGTTGAATTCCAATGTTTTGTTTGAACGCTGATGAAAAATTTTCTTGACATTTCTCATTGAAATGCGATTAACCACTCCCCTTATCAGGGTTCTTCCTAAGGTTAAACAAGTAGGTATAAAATATTCCAATAAGCAACCATAAAGAAAACAAAGTATTTTGAGTTTTCCATTAACATGTAATAGAGCAAGAGTTAACTTTTATTGAGCTGCTATTTTGAATTAGTTAAAAATAAAATCGCTACCTGCAGACAGTGGTCCAAGCTTAAATTCCAGGCCTCAAGCACTGTAAGCCCCCCAGCGAAGCCCTTTCTTGTCCTCTGAGTTTGTTCTTTTTGAGGGCACTAAAGCATGATAGCTGTGTTTTCATTTATGTCAAATCTCTGTCTGCACAGTAGCCTTTCCTCTGAAATGAGAAAGTATTTGACGTACAGAACCCCATTACTCCACCTCAATGGCCCCTATGAGGTTTTGAGACTAACTCTTTATGGGAGTAGAAAGCCCCGTCTTTCTCCTGTGACAAGTTGCTGGGTAGTTTTAAACTGCTGACTTGCTATTAGCAGCCCAATTTGTAACCAC